TCTTCCAAATGAAATAAAAAAAAACATTGTTGTGAATTTTTGAGCAGAGGTCAAGAGAAACCTGAAGAGCTCAGGTTTCTCTTGACCTCTGCTCTTTTTTTTTTATAAACAATAAAGACAATCAGTTTCAATGAACAAATGTCTTCTTGTGATGGACACATTTTTTTTAAAGTAACTATGAATTAACTCTTTGCTGCAAAGAGAAAAAGATTAGGATTTTACTTCCATAGTTTGATGTTTGAGTATTTTAATTACTAAATATTTTTATTTAACTCGTTACTGGAATTCCTGAAGGAGTTAACTCATCCCAGTCTTTCTTGCTGTTTTACAAGTGAAAGCATCTAAGATTTGCATGAGGAGTAGAAATAACTAGGAAGACGTGGAGCTGGTTGTGAATTGCTGGTTTTATTTTAAATCGTTGTTATTTCACGTGGCAGTGTAATTGAACTGCTACCACACACTTGTAAAGTGCTGCTTGACGTGTTAAACTCCTCGCAAAAACTATCAAATGATTCAAGAGCCTTTAAGATCAACGGATGCCACATAAAAATCGAATTCTTTGCAAAAATCTGAGAACAGATTAAAACTCATGCAGTACAAAAGCAGAGCAATCCAAAATATCAACGACTGATGACACGTTATCAATAATATGATCAATAATGAGGGTATTTGCTAAACACATTTTCCTTTTTTTTTTTTTTTTTCTTTGCAGTAAAGATTTCAGATGGGAATCATCTATCAACAAAAAAAAAAAATCTCAAACAAGTAAAAGGGAGCAAATTCACCTGAAATTACCTTAGAACTCAGAAGTGAACTGGTCCGTTCCAGGGAATGTGTTTAACAGAACTGGTTCTGACCTGAATGACCAACAAGAGTTTTTATTACAGAAAGCAAATTGAATCTGAGAAACTTATTAACTACTGGTTGTTTTGGACTTTCGACCTCATCCAGGAATCAGATCTGGACCTTCGTAGGTTAAAAAAAAAAAAAAAAAAAAAAAAAAATGGGTTTTTTTAAATTTATTGCAGTTGTGGCCTCTGTTAGATTCCTTTCAATTAGAAAAAATTT